ATAACATGTACGTCTTACTCCATAGAGTATCTCCAGTTGTGTGTCGGACAAATCGGAAGTATACAGTGTAAATAACATGTACGTCTTACTCCATAGAGTATCTCCAGTTGTGTGTCGGACAAGTCGGTAGTATACAGTGTATATAACATGTACGTCTTACTCCATAGAGTATCTCCAGTTGTGTGACGGACAAGAATTGATAAAAAATTAAAGTTGAATGGTCAAGCAAGTACTGCTATTGGTCTGACCATTGACCAATCCAGTAAGTACAGAACATGCAACACACAAAACGAGTACGCCAACACACCCAACACTATCGATGATATCACAAACATGTACCAACACAATCGATGACGTCACAAACATGTACCAACACAATTGATGACGTCACAAACATGAGTACTTTCAGGTAAAATTTATACATGAACTCTTACGTTTATCTATTATATATATATATATTTACATTTGCTCTGCATTGCCACTATATAACACTACCAAGGCCAGTTCCGTGTTATGAGAACATAACTCAGGTATGGTGATATCTCCACGGGAGCGACTAACTACCGGATTGCTATTCCCCTCCGCACTATCAAGCAGATAAGCAAAAACGACATTGGCGGAACTGCCCTATTTAAATCAAATTGGCGCCAATATTTGAACATAGTCATTTGAGTGTTTGACGCATGGGCATTAAAGTGAAGCGACAAGACTCTCATTGCACAAGGTTAAATAATATATGACGTCATAAGTAAACCATGCGTCACGTCACGAGAGTTTCTGCTTTCATACTCAAATGAAATGCCTTTCTGCTGCAGGTAATGTTCATATAGTGGGTTGCAGCGCAAATGTAAATATACCTGTACATGGTATATGATACATAGTGTAACATGTATAGCATTTATAGGGTATATATTAATATATGGTGTATGTATATGGTATAAATATGCAAAGTTAAACAAAATGTACAAAATGGAGTAGATTAGAAAACAACATAAAAAATCAAGATTGTGCTTTGTTATTTGCTAATGTAATTTTGTGCAAGAAAGAGCAAAATTCAAAGTTAGTTACCTGTTATTGCAGATCTAGCCGGCCTAGAGAAACAGTCGACAGAAGGAGCACACATGGGTTTTACTGGGAAACAGGTTATCCACCCTGGTCAGATACCCGTGGTCCAGAAGGCATTCTCTCCAAGTCCTGACCGCGTGGAGTGGGCCACAGAACTCATACAGGCCTTCTCACAACACACACAAACAGGGAAGGTATAAAACTTGTTAAAAACTTACTTCCATAATGATAATTGAGCATTAACTTATCATAATATGAAACTTTTTTTTTCCAAATCAAGGATACCCATATTTTTAGAGATTTATTTTTCATAAATATTAATAAAAAGATACATAATAAATATAACATTACCGGCATTTAAAAATAAATCATTTTAGACATTTGAACAACTACTCTTGAATTTAATGAAATGTTTCAATAATTATTAAAAACTGAAAACTAAAATCATGTGATCTGGAATCATCACATGAGAAAGCATACATAAAGGTGTTCAGAGTTTCAAATATAGTTTTGAAAATTTAATTCTTTCACCACTGTAGACCATAATGGACCCATCCAGATCAATGCATGGAAGAGTCTACTAAAGTTACATAGGGTTGAAAGGGTTAATTTCAATGTCATATATATAGTGACATTTGATACGGAATCTACTGCCTGGTTCTGGCCACTGATGATGTTCAATACACAAAATCCTTTAAAATTATGTCGCATATTAGTCTGGGTGTTGAATTGAAAACTTTCCTATCTGCCCCCTCTATGTGCTATTTGTATTATTTCTGTTGCAGGGTGCGTTCACATTCCGTGGGGCCATGATAGACATGCCCCTAGTATTACAAGCCAGAAACATCGTACGGCTGGCTGAGGCAGTCAAAAGCTGACATACAGACAGATAGTGGTCAAACGTGGACACACAGACAGATAGTGGTCAAATGTGGACATACAGACAGATAGTGGTCAAACGTGGATACACAGACAGATAGTGGTCAAACGTGGACAGACAGACAGATAGTGGTCAAACGTGGACACACAGACAGATAGTGGTCAAACGTGGACACACAGACAGATAGTGGTCAAAAGTGGACACACAGAGTGGTCAAGAGTGGACATGCAGTGTAATAAAGACTGGACACATTGTACTTGTCATTAGGAGTGGACACTGACAGCAGTCATTAGAATACACACAGACAAACAGTAGTATTTTATAGTTACCAGCTGTGATTTTGTTACTCATTAAAAATACTCCAAAAAATCACGTTTGTGTTTGATTCTAGTATTCCTTTTCAAACATATAGGTTTACCCTCACAATCATGAATTTATAAGCTGGACATCAAAACTCAACACTCTTAAGACATAAGATCTGTTTAAATATTTGCATTCATCATTTAGACATTGTGAGCACATGTACAGACCCAGAAGTATGGGCTTGTTGCATCTCCAAGGAAGATCTTACATTTCTTCAGAATTTTTCTGAGGAAGAGTTGCTTGCCCTTTTAACACAGCAAAGATTTAATTTAGGAAAAAGTGTTTACTGTAACTTGTTTGATTATCTGTCAGAGAGTTTATCCTCAGTGCTACTGGTCATGATTCTGGATAAATCTTTTTCTTTCTACAACAAAACAGTGAATGATTTCAAAATGTTCTTAATCCCTAAAAAATACTTACAACCAACAATTGTCTTTGTATGAATATTCAGGAACTAACACAAATTTAGAAGAGACCAGTAAGGCAAACATATCAACAAGCACTGTTGATATACAGAACAATATATGCCCCATCCATGTCATACTGACATAATACTTAAAAAAAAAAAAAAAAAAAAAAAAAAAAAAAAAAAAAAAAATTAACAAGAAGAAACTACACACTGTTTAACTATATAAGTTGAAATATTTCTGGGATGAAGGAGAAAACATTGTTCTTAATCTGAAAGATTTGCTTCCCTTTACCCATATTTTAAATCGGGAAGAAAAAAGAAATTGGATTTGCCTTGCTGCACCAAAGCTGACGATATATATATATCAGAGACGTATAATACAGAGATTGGCAACTCACGCTGATCTCGCAAAAACACGCATGATCTATGAGTGTTTGTTTTGACAGCTTATCGATCCTGGTGACGATAGTCTGGTCAGTGAGTTACCTGTGTGAGAATTTGATCGTGTATTCGTTAGTTCGTGCCAACAGGTCACATATCCTAGATATATGGATCATATAAAGAAGCTGGTTAGAAATATAATGTTATATCTGAATACGTTTTTGAAATAAAAAGATGAACGAGAAAGGAGTGCCGGTGCCATGAAAGGAATTAACACTCGCATCACAGCCGCCATTTTAACTTGTACATTTTAAAGTGTATTTTCATAGCTCAATTATCAAACTTTGCAAGTATTGTAACAACCTCATTTTAATTTCCTGGTTAGAAATATTAACAAATAATTAATTTCTGAAAACCTTTTTGAAATTGTCTAAAGAAAAAAAACGGAGTTCGTGTTCTAATTTGTCATTATAGAAATAACCCTCACACATCAAAGCCGCCATTTTAACTTCTTTATTCAGAAAATTCTGTTTCATAGCTAAATTATGAAAGTTTGCAAGTATTGTAACAACCTCATGTTAATTTCCTGGTTAGAAATATTATCAAATAATTAATTTCTGAAAACCTTTTTGAAATTGTCTAAAGAACAAAAACGGAGTTCGTGTTCTCCTGAAGCCAGAATCATTACCGATATGTAAACACAGTCACGATCTTTCGATGTTTGGTGTTTTCTAAACTTAATCATTCAAGTTTTCATTCAATGTAGCACTCCCAAACCGCATGGACATGTACAGAGTGTATTATAAGTCTCTGGTTGTACATACAGATATTACAATCTTTCCTCAAAATTGAATGATATTTAAGGGGCTGATTGTGGAAACCTAAGTGTGGACGGACGGACGCTCCCGTTAATATATATTTTTGACAGGCGTATGAAAATAAGTTTTGAGTATTTAATAGACAAAGAAAAGCAAATAAAATACAGGAAATTGATTTTTCAGAAACAATATCGGGGGTACTTACCCATGTCACAGGGGGAGGGTATGGACACATTTTAGGCTGCCATTTTTGCCTCTTCATGGGTAAGATTTAAGTAAAAACTGCATTTGTTCTTTTCATGCAACATTATTCAACATGTAGATGCATTCTATACGCTCTCGATATACGTATGAAGTTTGCAAAATGTAATGAAATTCGAAAAGTTTGTGACCGTGTTCTCCGCATTATATAAACCACAATACTGAAGTGTTTAGCAAAAAACTAGAAGTATTGGATCAATATAATTGATATATATATATCGCATCTAGCATGTTTTCTGCTTTCCGTGAACTTCAATAAAATACTGTAAACGTAGTTTTATGGAAGCTCTTAACCATGAAGTGAAAAAATAGCTGCCAAAAGTGTGTCCTTGACTTCTACATGTGACGTGTACAGGCGAGTACCCTGATATTGTCTCTGAAAAAATCGCTTTTCTGAATTTTGTTTACAAAAGGTTTGATTATTGGTACAATTCCGTTGAAATGAACTGATCTCACCTTTAACATAAATATTAGCACTGATTGGCCTCACAATGCACGAGAGACCACAAATTAGGTACTTTCGATGAAGGCTTCCATTCAAAAGTATTCTTTAGAAATGTCTATACATTGGTAAACACACCATGTATGTCAATTTTCCACATTTGAACATTAAAAGGCGCAAATCCAGGATTTTTTCTAACATTCTGGTATCCTACAGATACATACGCTGTTAAAAAATCTGAAATCGGAAGCCTAGGTCCGTTTTCATGAAGCCGTTCTCATGCTCATGCATAGATTATGTGCTTAGCCTGCAGCGTCCTTGTAATTCGCTTCAATCATGTAACACGGTAACAATGTCAACTGCAAACATTTTAATCATTGATGTTTGCTTGAGGTTTCTCCGAAATTCTTCAAAAAACAATGACAAAATGTGTTTTTTTTATTTATTTATCACTGGAACAGGAAATTGAGTTTGAGCATAGAATCTGATTTTGAGCATGATAACTGTTTCACGAATATATCATCATTGACCACGTCACCAACCATCATTGACCATCAATTAATTGATCACGTCACCAACCATCATTGACCATCAATGATCACGTCACCAATCATCCAACAAGACTTTGTTTTAGCCGGGGACTAAGACAACGTTTCTTCATGAGTTATTTCCCTTACAACACATGATCCACTTGAAATAACAGCTCAAAAATAAGGGAAAGTGTTTTTGAAGTAATTTGTTATACTATAAATGTAGCAAAACATTAAATACATTTACGGTATGAACCCTAAAATTGACTTCAAAAACAGAATTTCTATCATGTAAAATATTCTCTGAACTTTTCGCACCACTGATTTGTTTATTTTAAACATATTCTATTGCCTCTTTTCTGATCAAATACATCACATCCCGTGCTATTGTATCTTCCTCCTGTTCACTCCGCTCTTGCAGTCATTTCCGTTTCAACTAGTCCGTTCGCACAGAGAAAGACCAAACACA